TCTTGATATTATTTGATTATAATTGTTCTTTGTGATAATAAACCACTTTGCAAAGGAGTTCTAGCAGTTACTTAGATTTTAGAGTTGTTGTAGCTCAGTTTTTGGTTTTGATGAAAAATATTAGCAAAGTAAGAGACATGTTGTTGATGTTTGTGCAGATGTAGATCATGCCAGAAATGATGATCAGCTGCAGAAAAACTTACCTGATGATTCAAGTTCCATAACAGCTTCAAAAGCAAATTCCCCACCGTGGCCGCCGCAGCAGTAATAGTAAAAAGGCAGTAATAGTAAAAAGTGTTTGGTTTAAGAGGACCAATCTTGACATGGTGGATCTTACTGGAGCTGTAGAAGAAGTATCTGTAAGAAGTGGCCTCCGGCTGTTTCTCTGTCGTACCTATTTGGGCGTTTACCGTACTCCACCATCGATTCCACGTCATTGTCATCCGTTGTGTATGGTACTCTCATGTGAGCCTTACCCGCCAATGATACGTGCACGGTGCACCTATATATGTGTATAAACAATTCATATATATTCAACATTAACTAATTCAAACTAAAAAATACGTGATAGAATAGAATGTAAAATGAAATGGTAGAGAACATGAAGTGACTATGTGATAATTTAAAAAGTTATTAACCTTGTTACAACGATACATTGTCTTATGGTGTATACATCTCACACTTCATATGAAAAAGGCTCGAAGGTGAGAATTTTATAGGACTTAAGACACATTCGAGAGACGTTAAGAAAGATATATAAACCAATGAACCTGTTAAGGAAAGGATTTTGGACGGCCGTTAGAGACGATGAAGTCTGGACAAGGCGGCGGACGGGTGTATTTCGAAACACGATTAGCTTGAGATACAAACGGAGAGAGGAAGAAGAGAAAAAAGCAAAGAAAGAGACGAAAGAGTGTCATCATCTTCTTTTTAAAAAGTTGATTATGTTACTGGACCATTTAATATTGAGGGAATTGCTGAATATGACTCAAAACTTGAGTTGAAATGCAAAACTAGACCCCCTATTGCATGTTTGACAAAAATAACTCACAGGAATAGTGAAATTACAACTTTAACCCTTATGACCAAACAAAAAAACATCAACCTCAATTACTATTTTATCCCAGAGAAGTCTACTCGAGAAGTTAAGTAGACTTCTCGAGTAGACTTTAATAATATGTTTACAATTAATTTTAAAAATTATAAAAGATAATTTAATAAAAAAATTAGATACATAACAACAAATATATACTTTTTACACCTATTAAAAATAAAATTTGACAGAAAATAATCAATTTAAATCATCATAGATAAATTAGGATAAAAATCAATACTAAGAGACTTCTCAAGTAGACTTCTCGGTTTCTCGAGTAGACTTCTCGAGGAGAAGTCTACTTACACGAATTTTTTCCTACATATATAAGGAGAGTTTAACCTAATTGTATTAACAACAAAGTCTCTCTCTATCTAAAAAACGCCTCTCTCTCTCTTCTCCCTTTTCTCTGGCCATGAATTTCTTCTCCTTCCTCTCTTGCTATCAATATCCTCTCCATCCTCTCTATCTTGCATTCAACTTCCTCTCACTTGCAGGTTATGGTAGTGGTAAACAAATCTGAGCTTTTGTGTTCCTCTTTTTATTTGCTTTGTGTTCATATTGCAAATCTGAGATTATTATTATAGATTTGAGCATATTGTTGTAGATCTAAGTTTATTTTTGTAGATCTGAGTTTATTGTTGTGTAAATTTTGTAGATTTTGTTAATTTTTGTTATTATTGCAGAGCTGAATTTTGTTGATTTTTGTACAGATCTGAATGTTATAAATATAGTAGATTATTATTATAGATCCGAGCTTATTAGTTTAGATTTGAGCTTATTGTTGTAGATCTAAGTTTATATTTGTAGATCTGAGTTTATTATTGTATAAATTTTATAGATTTTGTTCTAGATCTAATTTTTTCGTTATTGTTGCAAAGCTGAATTTTGTTGATTTTTTTGCAGATCTGAATGTAAACTTCTCGAAGCAGACTTCTCAAGCAGACTTCAGTTGCATACATAGTTTTCAGAGATTTTAGTTTACTAGTCATTTCTTATGCCAATTTTAAGATTTATAATTAGTGATCCTTAAATGTTTGTTTGTTTAGAGAGTTATTTTCTATGTAATGTTGAATTGCATTGAATGTTTTGTATCAAATTCCTAAATTATCTATGTTTATCTATTTTACAAAATAGACTTCTCCTGTCTCGAGTAGACTTCTTAAAGACATTAATTTAAGTGATTCAGAGGGACATTTCTCCCATTTATATCATATAACTTGTCAACCGAGTAGACTTCTCTTGTCTCGAGTAGACTTCTCCTGTCTCGAGTAGACTTCTAAAAGATATTAATTTTACATAACTTAAAAGTGATTCAGAGGGACATTTCTCTCATTTATATCATATAACTTGTCAACCGAGTAGACTTCTCTTGTCTCGAGTAGACTTCTCCTGTCTCGAGTAGACTTCTAAAAGACATTAATTTTACATAACTTAAAAGTGATTCAAAGGGACATTTCTCTCTTTTATATCATATAACTTGTCAACCGAGTAGACTTCTCTTATCTCGAGTAGACTTCTGAAGTAGACTTCTCATTGTCTCGAGTAGACTTCTTAAAAACATTAATTTTACATAACTTAAAGGTGACAACATTCGCCCTCCTTTGCTATTCACCCTCCTTTGCCAACATTCACCAAGAAGCTCACCATGTGTGCAACCATCTCTTAAGAACAACAGTCACCCTCCTTTGCTATTATCCACCTCGAACTGTCACACTGATTCACTCTTAACCCATTCTCCATAAACAGCGGGTATGTGAGCCATTCTCTGTGAAAAAAGAACAAAATCCAAACCACATTAGACATCAAAATTGCATAAGTAGACTTCTCTGAAAGTCGGATGAAGTCTACATAGTAGACTTCTACAGTAGACTAAGAAGTCTACTCTTAATAAGCTAAGTATCATATAAAACATAAAAACTCATTCGACTATACCTATAAAATATAAACATGCAAAACTTATACATAAGCAAGAAAACTTAATAACGGAAGCTTAGGATCACGAAAATCTTAAAAATTCGTTATATATTGTATAAAAATGATTTTTTTAAAAAAACAAGAAAAGTAGACTTCTCGGATAAAAGTAGACTTCTCGCAGGTTAGTTTTGCAATTGCCAAAATATTAGTAGACTTCTCTATGAAAAGTAGACTTCTCCGAGAAGTCTACTTTAGTAAGTAGACTTCTCGCAGGTCATTTTTGCAATTGCAAAATATTTGACTTTTTGGTCAATTGCAAAAATATTTGACTTTTTGGTCAATTGCAAAAATGACCTGCGAGAAGTCTACTTGCAAAAGTAGACTTCTCCGAGAAGTCTACCCTGAAAAGTAGACTTCTCCGAGAAGTCTACTTCCATAAGTAGACTTCTCCGAGAAGTCTACTTCCATAAGTAGACTTCTCGCAGGTCATTTTTGCAATTGACCAAAAAGTCAAATATTTTTCAATTGTAAAAATGACCTGCGAGAAGTCTACTTGCAAAAGTAGACTTCTCGGAGAAGTCTACTTTGCATAGAGAAGTCTACTCTTCAAAGTCAAAGGTTGGTCAATTGCAAAAATGACCTGCTTCTAAAGAAGTCTACTCGAGAAGTCTACTCTATTTTTTTTGTTATCAAAGGAAATTGAGTAGACTTCATTCAGACCAAAAGAAGTCTACTTTTTCATGCGGTCAATTGCAAAACTAACCTGGGCGTTGACTAGTAGACTTCATTCGGACCGAGAGAAGTCTACTTTCGGAGTATTTTCGTAAATAAGTGAGAAAGATGAGGATTAGTTGGTCATTTAGATTTCCGAAAATAAAAGAAATTAATTAAAAATAATGGCAATTTCGTGAATAACTGAAACTATGAAGGATTGTTTGGACACAAAATGGCAAATGTTGGGAAAGTGATTTTTGTGGGTTATATTTGCAATTCAAATCAAATTTGAGATTATTTTTGCAAGAATCCCTTTAATATTTCACTCTTAACAATTCTTTCTCCATAAAACAGTTAACCAAGTAGCTTAAGAGATGTGTAAGGAAGGTTAGAAGTGTATTAAGGTGGAAGCAAAAATGGTAGGACTATATGAAAGACAACCACAATGGACAATGAAACAGCTTGAACATAAACTCAACTAATCTGCAGCCACATCTCTTGCATGATAAAAAATTTAACGTGTTTTATAAGTTTATCACAAAAATTAGAAGAAAATTTAAGTATGATAAAAAATTATAAAAAAGTAAAAAAAATATTTAAAATTTTAAATGAATGAGTGTACATATTAATATAAATATTGTTTATATATTTACATAAATTATATTTAAATAAAATAATATATTAATTACAAGCTAAAAAATATAAACTCACACGGATCATCACCTAGTATATTAATAATAATTTGGTTTTGTTTTCATTGACAAACTTCTAAGTTACTATATTATGACCCTTATAAATATGGATATATAATAGAATAATTTAAAATACATGGAAAAATTGAATTATCTGTAAAATTAAATTAAACAATAACAATCTATAAAGGAAACCTAAAAAAATTCTTAATAGGTATTTATTTTATTTTGATTATTATTTTTTTCAACTAAATTTTATAAAACAATTATAAATATTTAGTGTTTTATATTCTAATATGAATTAGGTTTTTAAATATAGATTATATTTTAAATTTTCCTGACAAAATTCTTTATCATCACCTTAATTAAATATATTTATATTGTAGAATTATAATATAATTTTTTAAAAAAACATAAAAATCATTAAGTGGAATTTAAAAAAAACTTGCAAATCATTCATATGAATTTAAATAAAAAAATTTACCCATTCCAAAATTTCATAATATCATTCTATACTTCTTATTTTTCTTTGTCATTTTATTCTTCTTGTTCTTTTTCTCCTTTGCCAATTGTCATTTATCCTATTAATAATATATTGCTATCAACCAAAAAGGAAAAGAATAATGGGTTCCATATTCAAAGAAATGACATAAAGTTTATGATCTTGGAATATGATCATTATATGCCAAATTATTAATATATAACCATGGTCACATATGCTACTTTTTTGTTTGAGTAATGAGATATGACATATCTTAAGTTAATCAAAATTTTATATGCATTAATTGATATGAAAAATAGATTGATATGGAAAAGAAATATGAAACAAGGAAGAACACAAAGAAAGGAAGAAGATGAAAAAAGGACAAAAGATATCTCCAAATATAATAAAGATTTATATGAGATTTTATTTCTTTTTGTAACATACATAATTTTAAATGTTTTAGAATACATATTTTAAATTTTATAGAAGATGTACAAAGTGCAGAATATATATTTTAAACTTCATAGAACATATATGAAGTTTAGAATATGTATTATTAACTTCGTTGAACATGTACAAAATGAAAAATATGTATTTTAAACTTTATATGACATGTATAAAGTGTAGAATATGTATTCTAAACTTTATAGAACATATACGAAGTTTAGAAAACGTATTCTAAAATTCGTGGAACAGAAATTTTTTTTTTTAATGTATTTTCAAAAAACTTGAGATTAAATTTATTTATTAGGCTCTTTTTTAAAAATATGTATTCTAAAATATGTATTCTAAAATATGTATTTTTTGTTTTTAAAATATTTATTTTATAACATATTTGATATTTTCTATTTATTGTTTAAGGTTAATTTCGTTAAATATATTCAAAAAAATTAAAGATATTCTTTTACAAATCCATAATCAAAGTCTTCTTTTTTCTAATTTCCCTTTATTTTTTAAATGGATAAAACAGAAATTTTGCATGCGACAGAGTTCACTTGACTGGCAAGTAGCGTGAGTACTCCTACAAAGACATTTCTAAATATTAAAAACAAGGTGTTTCCCCGCAGCTTGTGCAGAGTTCGATTATTTTTTTTAAAAAATTTAATAATATTAGTCTATTTATAAAAAAAAATTATATTTTATAATTATTCGAAACCAAAATTAATATATTCTAAAAAATACAATTTTCATGAATATATTTTTTTTTGTGACAAAGGAAATTGTTATTTATATCTTATTTTCTAATATCTTTTATATTATTTGATAAAAACTTATATGTATGTTTTGTTGTTTTACTGCATTTATTAAATATGATGAATAATTCTCTTTTTTGGTGTAAATTGGTAGATTAAGATTAATGAAATTCAATGTTTGCATTAAAAAAAAACATAGCAATCCAAAACCAAAAAAATCCTTGTTTCATATAAACTTAAGATTAATTAGTTTATTTATTTCTGTTACCTACATTGTGGTTTTGCCAAATGTTTAATATCTCGAATTGTGATATATATTAGAGCATATAGATCTTTCACATGAGAGCTCAAATCATACTTTTGTGATGTTATATATATATGTGATTAAACTAAATTGACCTTAATTTTAACGAACTCTGACTCAAACATTATGAACATGTTATTATCAATTCTTTATCTTTTGTTTTTTTTACATATTGATTGGCTGGCTCTCTGTAATTTTACGGTTTGTTGGCCTTGTGAAGCTTTGTAAGCCAAGCACCAATATCCACAGTAATTTGGATGAACTTCTTCCCCTTCTCTCCACAACATATTGCATGTAAGTTTCTTCTGCCTTGAAGGTTCACGAATTTCAGGACTTGGATTTTTGTTTCAAGTCTTGCCTTGAGGAAAAAGGAACCAGAGTTAGAAGAAACATAATCTTAGTGCTGAATCCAAGAAGAGGTATGGGTACTCCATCGAACAAACAACCTCCTTCTTATACTCAACATTGCCATAGTCAAATATTCTCCACTTCCATTGCTCGTAATCGTCTAGGAAGATCTCGGAAATTAGGTAGTAAACTTCACCACCACATATAACATAGCAATGGATTTTAGAACCAAATCAAATCATCAATAGTGTCTTTTACGGTATGTTCAATTATGTCTTGGATTGGAAGAAGGATCATGTGTCATGGATTAGGAGAAGGATATGTTTGAGGATCAAAGGCATGGTTATGGGTAGTAGAATCAGAGATCGGTGAGTTATGAATCATATTCGGCCTTGTGACCTATCTCAATTCACATGGAGGGTTAGTCTTACCTAGGACTATTACCTTGGGCCCTGGAGATCGTTAAAGACATCAAGCCTTATGTCCCAACTGTCTACACTTAACATATTTAGTGGGAACCCATGCCTACTTGGCCATTTACGTCAGCATTTTGGTTACTTTGTGCAAACATATATGTCCCTCCGAGAGGAAAAAATAAGATAAAAACTCTTTGATGATTAAGTTCAAAAGAGACAACACAAAAGGTTGAATGACCAAGAGCAAGACTAAGAATTGGTTTCAATTCCATATTTAAAATTTAAGACAAACATAGATATTATATCAATTTTGGTTAAAACTTGAAACTAAAATTATAAATACTCGATTTAAAGGAGAAAAGAAGACAAAGTACTTGAATAACAATAATAACAGCATTAACAACAATATATTACAAAGAAAATCTTGCTTCTTTAACTAAATTTGGCAAGAATATTGTTCAAACTCTGAGACCGTTTTTGTGACTCTATCCATGAGTAATACTTCCCAGCATCTGGGCTGCTCTTTGACCTTGCCGCATAGTCCAACTTCCACACAAGAAACAACAATCTTAGATCAATCTAAACATTAGAGAGAATTTTTGTGCATTAAAACACTCTAACTCATTTACCAAGAAACCAGGAGAAAACAAAACCCTAAAGAAAAAAAAACTTACGTTGCCGATGGTTTGAAAGAGCTTGCCGGTGAGTTTTTTGAGACTCTATTTTTCAACATTAAACCTAGTGGAGATAATGATATTATAGATCGACACGGAGATACAATGCTCTCAAATGGAGGTCGTTCTAATCGTAAGGCCAAACATTTTTGTCGATCAATATCTTAACGCTAATGATCTCTTTAGCAGATTCTTTGGCCCTAGCTGCAGCTTCTGTTGGTGACAATGGCTGCAAGTAAAATCTGCCTTTCAATGCCAACTAAAATTCTCTTGTTTGGTCTGAGTTATCTGTCCCAGTTGTTCTCACACACACAAATCAAAACCACATTCAATCAAATTGAACATAAAAGTAGAATCAATATCTCGAATCAAATTAACCATTTCTTCTCTAAGAAAACTCTTAATAAAACAGTAACTTCAAATCTTCCATGATAGATTTTTTGAAAGAGATTAGAGACCTAAAACGAAAGTTGTGGAGAGAGGCGTACAGCCGCCGATCGATCTAGATTGTTTTAAAGACTTTTTTTTAATATTTATAGAGTTGCAAAAGGGTTTAAAATATTTAGAGTTTTATTTGTGGCCGTATAAATCAATTAGGTTAGTAAAAAATATTAGTAAGTTAAACGATCAAATTAAAATTAGTTTAAGAAAAGAATTAGGTTCGATTTTTTTCTGATTTATGCTAGTTACCTTTTTTTAGTAAACTGAATACTCTTATGAAATATACTCGAATTTTGAAATTTAGATTTTTTTAAAAACGAAAATTAATTAAAAATTAGATTATATTAATTACTTACTTTCATTAAGGATAAATAAAGTCTTTTCATATAAGAGGCAAATAGTAATCAACCATCATAATTCTTAACCACAGCCCAACTTATTTTTTCATTAATAATATGATATGTTTCTAATTAATAGTGAATTATTGAAATCAGGAATTATTTTTTTTTTAAGAAAAGGGCATAAATTATGAAATAAGAAAAGAAGGATTGAGGTTAAAATTAATGGTTAACTAATCCATTAAGCTTCTAATTTAACATGTTAAAATTTAGAAACAAATTGAGAAAAATTGTGTATACCATTTTTGTCCCTTATATTTGGTTTAATTACATAAAATGTTATTGATCAAAATATAATATATCCATGAAGACATTGACATGATTGGTGTAAGATGTTTATTGAAACATATATTTTAGACTAGGTTAATAACTCGCACTACGCGCAAATATGTATTAATAGTTTTATTTAATTATTTTTTAAATACTATGTTTTAAATTATCAAAATTATAATAGATTTATAGAAATTTTCTTTTATATAACAGAATTTAAAATATAATTTGTAGTTTTCTGCTAGTTTTATTTATAAATTTTTAAATCTTATCGAGTAAAATAATAACAAGGACACATATCGAATTATCAAACTTTAACGTATATATACACTTGATTTAGAGAAGTATTTTCTTGCTAATATCTTGATGTTTTGTTTTCTATAGGATTTCGACAGTTCTTTTTTTTTAAAAGTTCATGTGTTCAAATATTTAGTTTTTTTATTGAACGTCTCATTGATGTTGTATGCTTATGCATATATAATCTATGATTCATATTGATTTGCATTTAGTTTTGTTAGGAAGCTGCAATGATCGTGCAAGGCCATTTCTTGCTTCTTCAACAGGTCTTCCACGAGTTTTAGCTTATATCTTCTTTCTTTGCCGCGGCATTTCGAATCCTGTGTTCACTTATGAAACAGGATCTGACCATTTGCTGGTTACCTTGCAGTGTGTAGATTTCGGACAAGGTTTGGAATTTTATGCACTAGTGATATTTAGAGACTATTGCCTTCATCTCGTGCATCCAAGGCATCCCGAGGATCGAATTGTAGATGGCGGGTTTATTCATTATCTTGAATTTCACAATTTTGGAGATTCCACCAACGTAGACGGTGAGGTGAGTTGTGCCGATGCTGAATATGGACTCGCTTGTGAATCTAATGAGGGGCTTCAGAGCTGCCTTGATGTCTTTATCGTAGATGCCCATCTTGGCAGTATTTCCTTGAATATGATATTTACGGCGCTGCCCGTATCGATCAAGATCTTAGCCACCTCGTTATCGTGGATGTGAAGTTCAACCACGAGGGGATTGTTATAGGGGGGTGTGGAGGCCCAATGTATCCTTTGTCGTAAAGGAGATTGTGGCTTCATTGCCAGGTCAGTGGGGGTATCTTCGAGAGACTTCGGCTTTCGTGCCGTATTTTTTGAATGCACGGACTGAGTCGTTGGCGTTAGGAAGCCCGCCCATGATCAGGTTCACCCGTCGTTTTGGTGGGGGGTGGGGGATTCTCCAGGTTTTCTTCGTCTTGCTCTTCTTGATCAGCTTGAACGTCTTTATTAGCAGTTTTTTTCAGTGAAAGGCTTCAGCGTGACTTCCAATCAGTGTCCCGTCGATCGCTGTTGTTGCCGCAACGTCCGTCTCTGGATCGTTTCCAAGAATTACTTCTTTTTTGGTACTTGGAGCGAGGCAGCTCTCGCTTGACTTTGATTTTGCCGACTTTGTATTTCTGGTACAAAGAATCGTGTAGATAGCAACACAAAGAGGACAAGTGACCATATCGCTCGTGGAAGGTGCAATAAGCTGTGGGGTCGTCGTCTCTTTCCGAGGTATTTGTTTGGGCAGTACGATCATTATTTCTCTTGGAGTTGGTGTGCAGCTGTTCTGCTGGTTTGCTAATGGCATACAATATCATCTTGCTCCTATCACTGCGGGGCAATAAAAGAAGATTCTTGTAGTCTTCATCAACATACTTCTAAGAGCAGAGCCTCTTTTTTTCCTCTTGATGAATGTTTGAGCGCGATGTAATGCATTTTCTAGGGTCCTTTGCGGGTTTTTTTTGTAACTCGTCCTTGAAGTCGGACTGGTACCATAGTTCGTTTTCGAGGACTTGCAGCCCTAGCTTGTCAGGAATCTTTCCATAAGATATGACGGCTTTCTTGAACTTCTCAATGTAGTTCCAAAGTGACTCATTCCTTCCTTGCGATAAGATGAGTAGATTAATGGTCGGCTTGGTTATTAGGACCGAGTAGTGTTTGAGGAAGGCCATAGAGAGGTCTTCATATCGTTTGATGCAGTCGGGGCGAAGGTTGTAGAACCACTTCAACGCATCTTTGTTCAGGCATTCCACAAAATTTTGATAGTAGTTTGCCTCTCTCTCTTCGGTCGAGCTGAACTGCTGCCTATACATGGCGATCTGGAAGCTAGTGTGACAGATTTGGGGGTTCTCCACCCCGGTGTAGTAATTCAGCTTCAATTTTATTGCAGGGGCGAGGTTGTTGCCTGATGCACCTTTGATCCAATCTTGTCAATTTGCTCTTGAAGGCTGGTGACGTCGGTATTAGTCTCGATTGGACGGGCCGAAGTCTTGATTCCTCTGGTGGTTGCCGTCGTTCTGGCCTGGCTGGAGGGGATCATGAAGAGACGTCACCCTATCGAAGTAAGGTGGCCCTGGGTGCCTATGGCAAGCAAGTTGAGTTGCTCGCCGTACTGGTTTTGACGTCAGTTCATGATGTAAAACTTGTCAGACAACATTTGAAGCATCGGTTGCAAGATAGATTGCATTGAAGCGACTAGGTCGACCGAGGTGGCTAGAACGGGTATGGTTGGAGGTCGGTCATGTGGGAGTTCAGCCTTCGTCTTCCGTGTGCTCCCTGGTTCTAGTTGAATCATCGGTTGCTGATGCAATAGGGTTCCCTTCGGTGTCGAGCTCTGGTTGTTGGTTCTGCTTTTGCATCTCGGTATTAGTGTCGTCGGTCATCTTTTACCTTTTTATAGAATTATCCTCTAAAGTCCCCACAGTCGGCGCTAATTGTTGAACTACATATCCACCTAATCGAATAAGCGAATAACAGTTTGGAGATTTAGAGAATAAGAACTTTTTATTAGCTTGGGGTTTTGAGATTACAACAAGAGGTCTGAACGAGAATGTTCAGCCGAGGTTAAAGTAAAAGCTCTTAAAGATTTGAACAGAAAGCTTCTAGTGTAATAGGTCTACTCTTATTGTTCTCTCTTTGATTTACGGATTGGATTCCAAGCTATGATCCCTTCTCTATTTATATGAATAGGAGGTCGGTTCTATCGAGCTCCTTTCCTTTTCTTAATAGGAATATCTCCTTTTCCTTAGATTTAGGAAGTTTCTTTTATCCTAAATCTTTTGTTTTTCTTTGGCAAAGTGGTTTCGAGGAGTTCCATCCTTGCTTTAGATGGGCTTGAATTATTGTAGAAGGGTCTTTCTAAAATGTGCGCATTCTCCCCTCTACAGGTGGTGTGTAGTATTCACATTATTTTTTCACTATTTTTATCTTTTGTGTGTTTTCTGCACGTTTTCATTTGAATATTTTAGCTACATATACAAATTTTAGTTTGATTCATAACTCTGTCATACTTTATTAGTTAAATAGAATTTTGAAAAGTGTTACCTATATATAGATATGTAGTAGCAATGTATTAAAATCAAATTTTACTACTTGTTAAATTTCAAGTGTAAAATTACTGATGTAGTATTTTTCTTTGTTAGTTTTTAAATCAGAAACACAAAGTGTTTTAATCTTTATATATTTAAAAAATATATTTGATTTAGAAACTCCTGTAAACATATTGCAACTTTAGATAATAATTCATTGTCAATACCACTATTTTAGAAATCAAAAGTTTTTTGAAACTAATTTTATATTAATTTTGATTTTTTTATATATACTTTACATCTTTTGAGAGTAATTTTATATTTTATTTTAGTTTATAATTTTTTATATGTTTGATATATTAATTAGGATTTATATATGTAATTTTGTTAAGCTATTTTGTTGTTAATTTTTTAAAAAGGTAGCAAATACATCAAGTTAATTTCTTGTACACGAATACTTTTTCTTTGTTAAATTTGGTTTTTCATATTTATTTTTATTTTAGTTATAATGTTATTTTTACATGCTATAATTGTTTATTTTAAATCTTATATGTGCTTCTCTCAAAAGCTTATAACATCATTTGTTTTTTTTAGTAAAGTTTTTTTATGTTGATATTTAAAAACGGTAGCCTAAATATCAAATTAGTTTTGTGTTATACAACTTCTTCTTTAGTTAATTTATCTTTTTAATATTAATTATTATTTTATTTTAAAACATATTTTTTTTCTAAAAATATTGATATTTTACATACATAATTTTCTTTTTACCTTTTTCAGTTAATAAGACTATATTATAATAATTTTAAAATAGTTAGCATAAATATTAAGTCAGTTTTTTTAAATGATTGTTTTTAATTTAATTTTTCCGATATTAATTTTTATATTTATTTTATGAACATTTAATATAATATAATTAACTTTTCATTTTTTGTTTATTATTTTATATTTGTATCTTAAATAGTAAGATGAAAGCTTCATCTTTTATTTGTTAGTTAAAGGTTTTTTTTTAATTTTTATTAGTTAAAACACTGAATACATTTTATTGATTTAATATTTTTATATTAACTTTTTGTTAATTTAGTTATTGATTTCATAGTTATTTATTTTTGTTAATTTAGGTTTGGTGACATTGATTTTCTATTTTAATTTGATAGATATTACAATTTTAAATTTTTGACATAACTTGTTTTAATCTGTTTTTTATAAAATTTTTGATCTTAATTTACCATTCAAAAATTATTTTTTCCATTTTGTATATTTTAATTTATTTAAATTACTACTCAAATTTAGGGGGGTATATTGAATTGATTTGAAAGAATTTCATTTTTCTCTCAAATTCCTCCTTATTGAATCTAGTATTTATAAAAAATATTCAAAATTCAGGATTATTGGATTAATCATTTATAAAAACTCTCTAAAATTTCAGCTTATTGGAAAATAGAGATTTTAACAATATATCAAAAGCAATTTGGAAGGATTTGTGAAGAAATTTGTAGTTGAAACTTAGGGGGGTATATTGTATTGATGATTTGGAACAATTTAGAAATCACCTAAATTTGAGAAAATTTAAAAAGGATTTGATATTTGAGCAAATTTTGCAAAATTATTGTTATAAATTTTAAAGATGATTAGGAAGGATTTGAGAATATTTGAATTTTTTTTTTTAATTATATTTATTTTTTGCATGATTGTAAAAACACAGTGAAGGATCTCTTCGTCCACAACGTACATTTGCATATGTATCAACGTTCACTATCTTATAGATTTGTTACTTTACTATATCAACCTAATTCATTTATTTTTCTTTCTTAAAACAAATTAAAGGAACAATGTGCACCGGCTTGTAATGTTCGCTGCTCAGAGACGTCACACAAGAAACCATGTCTGTTCTTTTGCAACTACTATTGTAAAAAGTGTTTATGTGCACCTTCTGGAATGTACGAACACAAAGAAGAATGTTTTTGATATAATAATATAAAGAAGGCAAAGAAAAGGAAAAAAGTAAACTTGAGAAGCACATCAGTTCTTGGTTCAATGTGGTTAGTTAAAAGGATATATATCCACATAAATCACATAACGTAAAAACAAAACTCATCCAAGAATTAAATAATAACTTTAAATAATAACTGCAAAATAAGAAAAAATTCCACTAATTATAAAAAAACCTAATGTAGAAAACTTCAAACTACTTAACTGACGTAAGCTTGGCTTTGTCCTGCCAGAAGAATGTTTTGTTTGAAGATGATGTCCTGCCAATATCAAAAATCATTTCAGAAAACATACATATAATGATTTCTCATTATCATTATCATTGTCAACCGTAAAGAGAAAAACAGAGAAGAAGAGAAACATCTTGCAGACATCATCATTGAGATCCACTAATTATAGCATCATTCCACATATTTGTAGCAATTGTTGCTCTCCATTCATTAGCATGCTCTCTTTGTTGTTCTTGTGTGCCAAGGAGTTGATGACCAGCACTACTTGATGGTGAAACATTTTGTGCATCACAGGTTTTCTCGGGAGAAAACTCATCTGGACGACAGTTCTGGCGAAGGTAATTATGCAATGCAGCACATGCAAGCACTAATTCGGTTTGTGTCTAATATGGAAAATTAGGTGCAGATTTAAATATCAAAAATCTGGATTTGAAAATATCAAATATTCATTCGATGCTATTTCTCAAACAAGCATGACGCTGGTTGAAAAACTCTTCTTTATTTTTGGGATCATTGCTTCCTCTAGTAAATTCGTTGAGATGATGGCGAGTACTTCGAAATGGAGTTAGAAAATTTCTTCGATTGGCATAACCACAGTCAGCTAGATAAAGTTTTCCTGAAATATTTTTACCATACAATATAAATATGAGTCATAAGATTGTAAAAAAAAAAAACTATCTTAACACATAATATTCTTTGGGTACAGAGTAATGCATGTACCTTCTGGGACTTCAAATCTATTGTTACTTCTTGTTAAAGCATCACTTGACACTTTTGCATCATGAGCTGATCCTTCCCAACCAGTAAGGACATATATGAACTGCAAATCAAAGTTACATGCAGCTAGCACAATCCGCCATCATGCAGTTGATAAAAATTACCAGCCAGGGTCTCTTTTCCCAGACCAGGTACAAACCAAAGCATCAAGATTCCAGAGAAAACAAATCACAACGCCAGGAAAACTTGAATTTTCATAACATCTCGTGTTGTACATTATTGCTGCAGGGTTATTTACAATACAATTACAGTAGCAAAGTTCACATGATGTACTTAAAAACAGTGGTGATGCAGAGAGGTTCAGACGAGCCTACCAGTCTAATTTCTCAGATTCGTTCCACAAGATTATTTCTGAGGTACATTATGCGTTAAGTAAGGATATTGATAAGCAGCTAATATCAAGTATGAGTGTCTGTTTAACTGGTGGGTTTGCTAACGAACATAATTATAGTGCAATTGAGATATATGATTTTGTAGTGTAATTTTCGGCGGGTAAGATTTGGTAACTAAAACAGAATTTTTATATGTTAGTTATAAATTTATGATATTGATAAGCATTGAAATATATAGTTGTTGCACTGATAACAAAAGTTTGAAATTATCCTTTCAATAATTGATTAAAAATTTGTATAGAAATAGATTTGTGTATCTAACTCTAAAAAAATACATGTTTGACAAGATCAATAGCTTTTCTGAGAAAACAAAGGTAAAAAATGATTACTTCTTTGTGCTCTTTTCTCCTTAATAAGAAGTTTGTGATCAAACTTCTATTGGTGTTTGAATTATATGATTGTATTTGTTGTTTTTTTTTTAGCGTTCCATATGATTTTTTAACAATAGTGAATTGTCTGGCTAGATATCTCTTACACTAAAATGGGAGATACACAAGACGAAAAAAGTAAAAATCCATATGTTTCTTGGTCCACTCAAGAAACCAAAACATTGTTGTGTTTGTTGGTCGATGGCGTCAATCAGAACTGGACAGATGGGAACAATTTATTCAATAAACTTACCGTGGAGGAAAGAATACTACTGGAGCTAAACAAACTCTGTGGATCTATGAAAACTTATCTCCAATACAAAAATAGAACAAAGATTCTCAGAGGTAGGTACAAGAGTTTTGCAGATCTGCTACGCTTTAGTTCAAGATTTGGTTGGGATCCAGAGACGAAGAAATTCACTGTTCCACATGAAATATGGGAAGAATATTTCAAGGTAAAAGATTTGTTAACATACATAATACATGATTTGCTTATGCATATGTTGTCTTATATAATAACAATCGTTCTTATTCACAATAGGGCCATCCAAAAGATAAACATTTATGTGACGATACATTTGAAGATTTTGAGGACCTACACACGATCTATGGACAAAATATAACAACAGGAAAGAATGCACTCGTGTTAGGTGATACGACGGATGCTCGTACTTATGGAGAGAGAGATAATGAATGGGAATACCAAGGTGTATCTACTCCTCAAAGGGTGGGTGATGATGCTGGTGGTGATGAGGATGGTGATAATGATGAAATAGAACCAGTTATATCATCTTTGTTACGTAGGAATACGAACAAAAAGCTTCCTATAAGAAAGAAAGCTAGGACTGGGAGATACAATGTGGAGAAGATTTCTGATGAGATCAGTGCAGTCACCGGAATGAACAACCAGATGTTTAGTATAATACAACAAAGATGGGAGAAAGAAGCCGAGGAAAAACAAGCTGAGGAAAAGGTTAATAATATATGGGATGATATTAAGAAAATTCCAGATTTAGAGGAAGATGAACGTTATGATGCAATGAACTTAGTTCACCAATTAGGTATGAAAGCTGGATTCGTGAGGATGACTCTAGAGGAACTTTTTGGATGGATTAAACGCAGTGTGCGTAAACCTTGAAGTTACTAGAGGAAGAACTATCATGCATTTAGATATTTTAGTTATATTGGTTTTCTTTGTTTTTTTAGTGGTTTTTATGCTCTGTCATTGTGTTTTTAATTTCTAGTTTGGTATTCTTTGCTTTTAAATAATAAATTACATACAGTAGCTTTTATCAAGCTATTGTATTTTGCCTTACCAATCTTTATTTTATTTCTGCTCTACGATTATAGTGAAACGGTTTATGTCAGATGAGTCACTAATGTGTTACACATATATCTTTTGAGCAGGGGAATAAGGCTGTGACTACTTTCATCATATGATCAACTTCTACTTATAGGAAGATTTTTGCTAGACGTCTTCGAGAAGGATTGGTAGGAGATCTCTATATATACTATTTTAAATTTTAAAAAAGTCTTTAGTCTTAGTTTTAGCAGGTACGAGAGAGCACTAAATTAACAGCTATAGTGTTGACATGCTTCGCAATGAATAATATTATACCAAAAAAAACACCTTCGTTTAACCTAGTCTTGGTTTTCGATCATATTTTTTTCAGGTATGAGATTCTCCACCTATGGATCAAGCTATTCAGGAAGGCGAAGAACTACAGTTAAAGAAAAACAGAAAAAAAATGAAGAGCTTTCAGTCAGACGTGGATATAATTATGTTAATTGCAACTATCAATGTGAGGATTTGCTTTCTAGCACGATATTTGTTTTCACAAGTTCAACGTCCGATTAAGAAGCCAACTACAAGAGTGGAACATGAATATATACAAAAGGTTTTAAGTGAGGATTGGAAACATTTTCGGATTTTGTATCGTACGTATCCAGAGGTTTTCTTGGACTTGTGCATTCTTATCCGAGAACAGACATCTTTAAGAGATACAAGAAGGATTTCAGTTGAGGAAATGCTTGCCACATTTTTGCTCATTGTTGGGCAGAGCTCGAGGTATATTCTCCCTCGAGATGTATTCAAGCGATCAAGTTTTGCAATAAGTCAAAGTTTTAACAAAATATTAAGGGTGTTAAACACCATTGGCCCACGTTGGATGACCAAACCAGAAAATGTAGTGTGTCAAAAATAAGAGAAAGCACAAGATTTTATCTTTACTTTAAGGTATGTAAGAATTTGTTTTTATTGGTTGTTTTGTTCAAATTTATTAACAAGTATTTTTTATCTTTTTTAGGATTGTGTTGGAGCTATTGATGGAACACATATTCCTGCTATGGTAGTTGGAAATGAAACTACTAGCTATCGAAATCGAAAAGGAGTTTTATTCCAGAATGTGCTGTAACTTTGATTTGCAGTTCATATATGTCCTTACTGGTTGGGAAGGTTCAGCTTATGATGCAAAAGTGTTAAGTGATGCTTTAACAAGAAGTAACAATAGATTTGAAGTCCCAAAAGATACATGCATTACTCCGTACCAAAGAATATTATGTGTTAAGATAGTTTATTTTATTTACAATCTTATGACTCATATTTATATTGTATGGTAAAAATATTTCATGAAAATTTTATCTAGCTGACTGTGGTTATGCAATCGAAGAAATTTTCTAACTCCATTTTGAAGTACTCACTATCATCTCAACGAATTTACTGGAGGAAGCAATGATCCCAAAAATAAAGAAGAGCTTTTCAACCACCGTCATTCTTGTTTGAGAAATAGCATCAGAAGAATATTTGGTATTTTCAAATCCAGATTTTTGATATTTAAATCTACACCTAATTTTCCATATCAGACACAAACCGAATTAGTGCTTGCATGTGCTGCATTGCATAATTACCTTCGCCAGAACTGTCGTTCAGATGAGTTTCCTCCCGAGAAAACCTGTGATGCACAAAACGTTTCACAATCAAGTAGTGCTGGTCATCAACTCATTGGCACACAAGAACAACAAAGAGAGCATGCTAATGAATGGAGAGAAATAATTGCTACAAATATGTGGAATGATGCTATCATTAGTGGATCTCAACGATGATGTTTGCAAGATGTAAGTTATCTCTTCTTCTCTGTTTTTCTCTTTACGGTTGACAATGATAATGATAATGAGAAATCATTATATGTATGTTTTATGAAATGATTTTTTGATATTGGCAGGACATCATCTTCAAACAAAGCATTCTCGTGGCAGAACAAAGCCAAGCTTATTTCAGTTAAGTAGTTTGAAGTTTCCTACATTAGGCTTTCTTTGATAATTAGTGGAATTTTTTCTTATTTTACAAGAAACTTTAAGGTTATTATTTAATTGTTGGTTGAGTTTTCTTTTTACGTTATGTGATTTATGAGGATATTTATCCTTTTAACTAACCACATTGAACCAAGAACTGATGTGCTGCTCAAGTTTACTTTTTTCCCTTTCTTTGCCTTCTTCATATTATTGTAACAAAAACATTCTTCTTTGTGTCCGTACGTTCCAGAAGGTGCACATAAACACTTTTTACAACAGTAGTTGCAAAAGAACAGACATGGATTATTGTGTGACGTCTCTGAGCAGCGAACATTACAAGCCGGTGCACACTGTTCCTTAAATTTGTTTTAAGAAAGAAAAATAAATGAATTAGGTTGATATAGTAAAGTAACAAATCTATAAGATAGTGAATGTTGATACACATGCAAATGTACGTTGTGGACGAAGAGATCCTTCACTGTGTTTCTACAATCATGCAAAGAATAAATATAATAAAAAATAAGAATTTCAAATGTTCTCAAATCCTTCCTAATCATATTTAAAATTTATAACAATAATTTTGCAAAATTTTCTCAAATATCAAATCCTTTTTAAATTTCCTCAAATTTAGGTGATTTCTAAATTGTTTTAAATCATCAATACAATATACTCCTTTTAATTTTTTTGTATTAATAAAAACGCTGATGTGCATCAATCAGAATGAGTTTCTTTGTCCTATGAAGACGCTCTCAATAGTCTAAGGCTTTAATTTTTATATAGTATAGATTACAATGGATTCTGATATAAGAATGGATTCCACCAATTCTTATTACACTTAAATCAGACTTTCAAACTTGTTGATGGAGAGGTTGAAGATGATGAAGTAACAAGTTGTGTCTGATTCCACAAACACAATTTTGAGGTTCTAGTTTCCAAGGACTTTTCCTCGCATGGACAACAAGAATCTCCACAATTTTGAGGTTCTTGTTTCCAAAGGTTCTTTCTCGCATTGACAACAAGAATCTCTACTGGAATAAGACTTTCAAGCTTCTTGATGGAGGGGTCGAAGATGATGAAGTAACAAGTTATGTCTGATTCCACAAACATAATTTTGAGGTTTTAGTTTCCAAGGGCTCTTCCTCGCGTAGACAACAAGAATCTCCACAACAGGTTCAAGCTTTGATTCCACAAAAACTTAGAAAACTTGCAAGAACAAATGATTCAAATAAATAATTCTTTAGAAGCAAATGAAAGGGATTTTCATTTTATAAAAGTTGTGTCTCGAAATACAAGTGAATAGAGATTATATAATGCTCAGAATAAAGACATAAAAACGATAAAAATGATAATAAAAACATAGCTTAAAAAGTGGCTTAAGTTTGGCTTGTTTCGGTTTCCTAGCCGTTAGGCTTGAATGGGGGTGAATGGGAATGGCTTAATCTGTGGGATGGATTCTTTGACTCTTTTGTACATTTAGGATCATCTTGACATGATGGAGGGATGATATTGGTCCGTGAATGATACTCTTGGTCTGACTTTCCAATAGAAACGAAGCAATCTAGGCAAAGTATGGAAAGTTGCTTTAGGATGGTTTCTTCCTTGGTTTGGCAAGATTGAGCTCGGTTATTGACTTGCTCTGCTGGTTTAGGGCGCAGGGTAGCTTTCAGTGGACTCTCGGGAAGGCGTGCATAAGTTGGTTTGATGAAATGCAATCGTGGTTTCCTTATATGGATCCGAATATACCCATGTAGGTCCATGTGGATGTATAAACGTCTTGATGGGTTTATCTTGGTTAGTTCTTGACTTGATTTGAACCGGCAATGGTTTGGCATGATTAGAAGGGGCTCATTGATGTGTAGAATGACAGTGCTCTGGTTTTAAAGTCTTGTTCTCTTTGTAAACAGCCTTAAGCCTAACTTTTTTCCTGAGCTACTAGCATGTTTAACTCCAAGTCAGTTTCTGTATAGCCTCCAACGTCTAAGGGAGCTTGTCTGGTACTGATGTACTCATCATACTCTCCCTCTTGGAGAGGTTTCTTCTTCAAAACTGTAGCATCTCCATCAAGAAAAGCTAAGTTAGTTTCTGTATAAAATTAAGAGTTTAGAAACTTACCTTGATACTCTTCTGATTTTTTTATGGAAATAGATGCTGAATAAGTGAAGTTAATGGGATGTTTCTAGCTTCAGTGAGCTCCAATGTGGGTTTCAGTTTCTGTAAGGGTGGTTTCTCCTTGTTAAACATTATGTTTTCATCCCTGCTTCTCACGTTTTGCTCCTTATTCACCATGTTTTTGAGTTCTTGCTCCTTTAAACTTGCAAAAAGCTCTTTTGGACAAGACAAATGTATCACATCTGGTGGATCTAATTTTAAAAATTCTTGAATTGAAAAATAACTAGCTTTAGCTTTAGTCACTTACTTGCATTACTCTGATACCTTTTTGAGCTAAAGGGGGCATAATGAACTTACAATGGTTAATGGTGAAGAAGTACTCATTGGTTATGCCATTGTGGATTACTTCTCTGTCATATTGTCATGGTCTTTGATAGCTTGCAAATTGCATCATTTTAGGTATCATTTAGCATAGTTTTCCACTGCATATTATCTATTTTATAGTCCAAAGCGTGATATTTGCATTCATAGTAGAGTTAGTATGCATTAGGATTAGGAATGCATGTTTTGTTGCATTGGGAGTGTATTTTAGGTACTATAGAGCTTTGGAGGCATGTTTATTAAACGAAGTTCAAGAAGATGTAAGGAAGGGAGCAAAGGAAGGAGAAGCTAGGAGTAGCAGCTACACCAAGGAGCCACATCGGGACGCGCTCCTCGGTGAAAGTCAATCCAAAGATTTTGAGCAGTTGCACTGGGATCCCACACCGGGATGCACTCTTCGGTGAAAGTCAATCCGAAGATTTGGATCAGCTGCACCGGGATCCTACACCGGGGTAACCTCCTTGGAGAATGTCAATCTGTAAAATCCAGCAGCTGCACCAAGTAGCCACACCGGCTTCTACTCCCGATGCAGACGTGATGTTCTCCTTCCCTTTGATTTTTCTTTGGTTTGATCTTTGGTCAACATCTGAGATTTAACCATTGACCAGCCTTAATCTTTTGACTATTTAAGCAAACCTTATCAACAATTAATCTCATCTTTTGTTATCTTGATTTTCTACTTTTTGAGATCTAAACATTCTGTCTCTCTTGTTCTTAACATTTTTTCCATAATTTTAATGTTTGTAAGCAACAATTTGACTTTTAACTAAGAGTTTGCATATTCTGC